TGGGGTCAGGGGTGGCGGGGTGGGGGGTTGGGGTGGCAGGGGGTGGGGTCAGGGGTGGCGGGGTGGGGGGTTGGGGTGGCAGGGGGTGGGATCAGGGGTGGCGGGGTGGGGGGTTGGGGTGGCAGGGGGTGGGATCAGGGGTGGCGGGCTCCCGTGAAGTCAGAGAATCTACTGAGGATGGAACAGGAGGTATCTTCAGCTCTATGAAGAACTGGTTATGTGGAATGGCTCTAGAGTTCTGCTAGGGAACCAGGCCCTCACTCAGCAGCCATTTTTCTTAGGCTACACTACATGAACTGCTGCATGCCCTGGGTTTTTCTGGACAGCTCTTCAAGATGTGGCGAGATTGTCCCTCAGGACTCAGTGGTAAATGGAAGGAGTGAGGGAATGGCCATCCTATGATGTCAACCAGAGGGAGTTCAAGACCTTCTGATTCTATTTTATCCTTCCTAAGTACTCCTCTCCTCATGTTGCCATCTTCCCTTTTTGAAGCCAGCTAGAGAGAATTGTTCTACGAGGAAACAGGTGACCAGACGAGATGAACAGGGACAACTGCTTCTCACCACTCCAGCTGTCAGCCGCAGCCTAGCCAAACACTTGGGGGTGCCCGGGACTTCCCTGGGAGTTCCTTTGGAAGAAGAGGTGAGTGAGAGAGAATAACACCTTGGGATGGTGGAAGAGAGAGAAGTAACCCAATAGCAACCAGCCATTTGCTACCTCATCCACCAGGGCTCTTTGTCTTCACACTGGGAGTCCAGATTACTCCAGGGCTCTATAATGTCCGCTACCTTCAGTGGTGCCCAGCACACTCGACTTGACCCAATAACCCTTGCTGCCTTCGAAGATTCAGGCTGGTATCAGGTCAACCACAGTGCCGCAGAAGAACTTTTGTGGGGCCAGGGTAAGGAATAAGAAAGAGCTGCAAGCCACTTGGAACTCAAGTCAGCTTTGTAGGAAGTGAGATAGTCTGAGTTATTTGCTACTAAGGTGTAATTCAAACTGTGAGCAGAGCTGGATCTCTGTGCTTTTGTCTTTTTGTTTTTGAAGCTCTGCTGTCCTGGAACTCACTTTGTAGACCAGGCTGGCCTGAAACTCACAAAGCACCTCCTGGTTCTTACTACAAAGTGCTAAGATTCTCTGCCCAGTCTGAGCTTTTATCTCTGCGTGCTTTACTGTCTTATTGCACAAGCAGGCTCTGGCCCAAACTTTGGCCTGGTGAACACATGCAGGAATGGATCCTCAGACTTCTTCTGCACTGGCAGGTGTGTGCTGAGTGGGCAGGGGACAATACAACTGTCAGTGAACCTAGCGTCATGTCTCTATTATCCCTTCCACACAGTGGGCTGGGCTGTCACTACCTGCACCTGGACAAGGGAAGGTGTTCCTCAGACCCAACGCTAGAAGGCTGCCGCATGTACAAACCCTTAGCCAATGGAGTGAGTGCACCACAGAAGAGACTGAGCAGGCCCAGGAGGTGTCAACCTCTACGGCCATCACACCATCACACTGTTCTATCCTTTTCCCTGAACCAGAGTGAATGCTGGAAGGAGGAGAACGGACTCCACACCAGAGTGGAGAACTCCCACGGGGAGATCTACCATATGCACAGCCGTTGCTTCCTTGCCAACCTTACCTCCCAAGTGCTCTCCAAAGACACCAGCCAACCCTCAACAACTCCGTATCTCGAGGAAGATCCCACAGGCTGTTGCTATTTACATCAGTGCACCCACAAGGGAACCTACGAGGTGCAAGTGGAGGGATCACCGTGGATTCCCTGCCTTCCGGGAAAGTTTGTTCAGGTGAGAATTTTATGAGTAGTCAGAGCACACAGGCAGAAAAGTTGGGAAGTGCTTGGCTGGCAATTAACTGTTAAGCTTCTTTACAATCTTACTCTGTAGTTCAGGCTGGCCCAGTATCAGCTATATAGCCCAAGTCAACTGTGACAATCCTCCTGCCTTAGCCTCTCATACTGGGATTACAGACACAAACCACCAAGCCTAATGTACAGCTTTCTTTTTGAAATGTCTTATTTTTATCCTATTTATGCATTTATTCGGCAGTACTGGGGATCAACCCTGGGGCAATCACTGAGCCATACCCTCAGCCCCTGGCCAACCTGTCTTCTTTTTCTAAGTATCTCCTTAGCTGACTGATCAAGCACATGTCATTTTCCTTAGACAGTAGCCCTAAGCAAGTAACCAAAGCTATTCCCTGCAGATACCTGGGTACTACGGTCTTCTCTACTGTCCCCAAGGCCGGTTGTGTCTGAGTGATGAAGGTGCCAGTGTTGCCACTTCTCAACCGATGACCTTTACAACCCAAGCCCTGCTATTCCAGCTGTCTCTAAGATTAACGGGGACCCAAAGCTACTCTCTGGGGAAAGGACAGAGAGAGGAGCTTGCTGAAGTAGTGCTGCAGGCTCTGGTGACAAGAACTGGCACTAGCAGGTAAGGTACATTCCCACCTACTTAGACAGTGGGCCAGAGTACTCAAGTGCTCTCTCACACCTTCCCCTGCACTCTGTTCATCCGACTCTGGAAACTACACTTACCTCTTTAGATGCTCTCTCTCAAGCACGCTTCCATTATGAGATGCCAATGTCTGCTCAGGTGTTATTTCCACAGTCCATCCATCACCACAAGCTTGGTGTTCACTGTGAGAATGTGGAAGTCTCCTGGCTGCCGAGGGCCTTCCACTGCTATGCTACATACAACCCTGACCCTGATTCTTCAGAAGAAACCCCTCCAAGTACAACATGGAGAAGTCATCTTTACCACAGAATACAGCAAGTAAGATGGTATACCAAATAGTAAACTTCGTCACTTGAATCCCTGCTGTGCAGACAACTGAAATCATATTTGGGAGACATGCATCTTTGTATACCTTATCCTAGACAAGATGATGTGTATCAGTAAACAGATCCCAGCATCTCCTTAGGTATATCGAACAGTAAACAGGGCCCCATCCCTAGAACTTAGGGATTTCAGTTGTCTTGGCTTTGGTTTCTGTTTTTGAAGGGGAAGGGTTAAACACAGGGCCTCACTGTGTAGCCCTGGCTAGTAAGTTACATGTATACTAAGTTACCTACTGTAGAAGAGACTAAACTTGAACCATCTGCATCCTGTTTTTTTTAGCACCAGACTGACCTCAAATTTACTATACAGCTGATGGTCTTGAACATCAAACCTCCTGCCTCTGGAGTACTGGGATCATATTGTACCATCATACCTCTCCAACAGCATTCAGGGAATCTAGCTACCAAAACAATCTCTTCCCACTATCTGGCCCTCACTACCATGAGGTCTTTCAGTACCTGAAGCTGCTGGAGACTTAGATCTTAGTCCTATCCCTACATTTTGAGTTTTACCTTCCCTTTCACTGACCTGTCTGCTCTAGTGCTTGATTCAAACAGGTCTCAGCTCCATAATGCCAAGCACCACTACAGGACAAACAGCACCTTCTATGTTCCTAGGCTGCGGACATCCTTGGACCACAACCCCTCTCTGACTGATCTACTTCTGTCCACTGGATTCTGCCTACTGTTGCTAGTTCTGGTGGGTGCATTGGGAACTTTGGCTTATCAGAAACGAGCTACTCTCCAAGTGGCTCCGTCTACCACTTAACCATCACAAGAGCTACATTGGCACAAGAGATCAGATTAAAATGAAGCAGGTGTGATGCCACTCAGAATGTTACTGCCAGATGCCAGACAGCAAGATGGCTTACTGGGTAAAGTCCTTTACCTGAGTTGATTCCTAAGGAGCCACAATGTGGAGAAAACCAGCTCCACAGGATGTCCTGACTTGTCCATGTGCACTGTGGTCATGAGTACTCATACACAGATGCACATGCACATGTTCAGAGTTGCTCTTATCGAGAGCAAGCACCAACACTGGGAGGCTTACAACCTTCCATAACTGTTGTTCCAGGGGATCCGACATCCTATTCTGACCTCTGTGGGCACTAGCATGCACATGGTACATACACATAACATTCAGGCCCTCACACATACATATAAATATAGATAAAAAGACTTCTGGATGGGAAAACCTACTTATTTTAACCCTGTTCTACTTTCTTCAGAATTTGTCTTTTCGAGGTTATCAACTTTGTAAGAGCTTTGCCATGTATAAACTGCAGAGCCTCACGGTGACGATCCAGTCTTTATTTTGACACCCTCTCCCCCAAATCAAGTTTAATTTGTAAAGACGGCTACAGACCAACAGCAGACCATGAACACTTGTCACCAGCCCCAAGGGTGCCGCCTCTGCTTTAGAAAAGGCCCCTCCCATTTAATACTTATCTGATTTTCATTGCTGCTTGGAGTCAAACAATTTGAATAATCAGTAATTATTTCTTTCTCTCAATTTTCCTTAATTTTATTAAATCATCGCTGGGAAATTCAGCAGTTGGGAAATCACATAATTATGCTCACTTTGGGTAAATGTGACAAAACCAGTCACATCTGGGTCAGCTGTAGATTTGAGTTACAAGATACTGGTTCCTTTTAGTTATAGTAACAAAAGCAGTCATTAAATTGAGATTTAGACATCTCCTATAAATAATCAGATTTGCTAAAATGGGAGAGAGTCCAGGTGACATACTGGTAGGGTAAAAACAGTGTTAGCACTCAACAGGAAGTTCATGCAAAAAAAAATTTTTTAAAGGCAGAGTCTCACTTTGTAGTGCTGGCTGGCCTGGAATTTGCTATGTAGACCAGGCTACCTCCTGAGTGCTGGAATAAAAGGAGGACCACTACTCTGGCAGTTCAGGTGAATCTTTAAGTGACACGCTTGCATTGAATCATTACTACAGTCATGGCCTTGGCTTGATCACATGTCATCCTCTTCTTGATCTGAATGCCTGTCAGTCCTTACCAGCAGTAGCAGCCACTGCTTGGTAAAACTTTGCCACAAAATCTGGCTCACTGACCTCCAGCTGCCTGACAAATTCATTGCGCTCCTGCTCAGCCCAACCTCGAAACCACTGATCCCAAAGACGTAGCTGACACTCAAAGATACAAGGTGGTCGATTTGCCGCAGATACACTGAGCTGTTCCAGGCCATCCAGCAGTGGCTGTAGCTTTCCCGGCACTGCCTTAGCTACCAGGTCTTGTAGAAAACGTTCCCGCTGGGGACCTGACCAACTGGCAAACCAGTGAAGAATACACTTCATCTCCTGGGAAGTGATGTAAGACATTGGAGGAGGGGAAGAGCTGGCAATGTCATCAGGCACTGAAGGTAACACAGAAGGGAAGCAGGGTGGCACTGATGTGGAAGACGATTCCAATGACATCCTGAAACAAACAAAGCTTTGTTAATACACTTTGTGGCAGAGCACCAGACATAACCTTATAAGCAATGAACCTTACTGCACCCAATCAGCATCCACCAATTCAATCTATAGGAAAACAACAGGACCCTTTCTTATGATAGGACTTCACTATATATGTGTAGCCCCAGACTGGCTGAGAATTTGGTTCTCCTGCTTCAGCTTCTTGAATATTGGGGTTACAAATGCATTAAGCCACACCCACATGTAAGAAGATCCTTTATTTTTACTTCTATACAATATTACCTTAGGGAAGCTACCCAAGAATAACTTCACTTGGTATTTGCCAGCCTTATTTCCTTTCCAACACCACTGACCTAAGTCAGGTGTGGTGGCTCAGATCTATAATCCCAGCATGTGGATAGCTGAGATGAGGGACTGCCAAGAACTAAAGGCCAGTTTGGACTATACAAGGACAAAGTAAGTTCCAGGCCAGTCTAGCCTACAGGCCCTATCTCAACACAAGAAAAGAACGAAAAACACAAGCCAGGCAAGGCAGCACATATGGCAGACCTGAGAGAGGCAGAAGTATCACAAGTTAGAAGATCAGCCTCAGTTACATTGTTGTTCCAGGCCAGTCTGAGACTCTGGGTCAAAAAAAAACCAAGACCACTACCTGACGACTGCTCCTTCCTGCTTTTGTTCCAGCACATTAACTTTTATTTGCATTTATTTGATGCTAAATTTATTCACATTCTGGAAATTTTTGCTGCACCAGTCTCTTCTTGGATGTCTTTTCTCCTTTGTAGCCTTCCTCTTCTGGCTTAGGAACAGCTCCTTTTCAGTGAGGATCATTTTAATGTGGCAGACAAGCTCACATATCTGACTCTATTTTGGGTGTTTTGCTCTGGCTATTGTCAGTGACCACAGAATCTATATCAAAACCTATAAGTTCAGCATTTTCAAGCATGTGTATCAAAACCTCAGCACTCTTCAGTGGCTACCAATCACATGTCTAGACCTACTACTGCTAAACGGTGGTAGACCATGCCCTTAATATCAGCACTCGGGAGGCACCCTCAGGCAGATCTCTAGTTCATAGCCAGCCTGGTCTACAGAAGGAGTTTAGGATAGCCAGGGCTACACAGAGAAACCCTGTCTTGAAAAACTAAACCAAACAAATAATAAGGAAAAACAAGCAAACTGAGGCCAGCCTGGGTAACACAGTAAAAACTGATCACAAACCTAAACAGAACACATTTCTTGCTTGTTCTCTCTAAAATTAAAGTGTACAGTTTTTTAAACTTTGGTACAAGCTACCGAAATGCTAATTGTTCCACACACTGTGTCTGTGTGTGTGCGTGTGTGTGTGTATGTGACATGATGCAAGAACTTTCTGTGTAATGTATATACAGCCCCTGAAATCTGTCAAAATATTTTATGTTCTATGACCCCCTTATTAAATTCTGTATCACATCAGAAAACTTTAGAGCAAGCTAAGTAAAGGTCTTGTCTCAAATAAGGTAACATTTTGAAAATCAGAAGCCACGCTATCAAGGTTCTGAAAAAAGTGCCTTTCCTTTCTTCACTTAGGTAGCCTAAAAGTGTGGTATTGAACAGTTTTCCTTAATGGTTTATCCCTACAAGTGTCACTGATTTTGCATTATGGATGCAAGTGTAAACCAACTTACCCCAAAATGCTTTAGTCCTACAGTTTGTATCTCCAACAACGAAAACCTTCAACTCTCTATGACCTAAATTACTACCTCTATTCCTACTTCGCCAAGTTGGAAGATTTGTATTAACAAAGAAAAGAATCCCTAAACGTCCATTCTAAGTCCCGGTTCAGGGTGACTGCCAGTTAGTTTCAAAGTGGCCCTACAGGGAGAACTTTCTCCTAAAACTTCTTTTTCAGAGAAAGAGAATTTTTAACTCAGGGTCTTGCTACATGGTTTCCATGGTAAACTTAAGTTCAATATCATTAATAAATTCACTGTCTGGGACCAAAGACACGATGCTACTTTTTCCCACGTTTGGAAGCCGCAGGTCTCTTAATCCTTAGCCCCACAGGGCAAAGCATTTCTTAGACCGAGTGGCCGGGATATAGACCAGAGACTTCGCCAGGAAGGAGGGTTCCCCAAAAGAAAACCTGCAGGCACCAAGTCTTATCTGGCCTAGGAGAAATTTCTTTTGCTCTTACCTCCCTTTTTCCCTCGGAGGGCGCCCAGAGATCACAAGAATCCTTCAGATCCTGCTCCAACTCCCCGAATCTCTTCCATGTTTCCTGAAAACCCTAAGCAGAGCCAACCCCAGTAACCCACGCACTTCCGGTCCGGGACCAGCCCCAAATACCCAAGTGCCCCAGCGCCTCAACCCCCAAGTCCGGAGATAGCCGAATATCTCCGATTATGGGTATGCCAGATTCGAGGGCTTCCGAATAGATTCGATTCAAAGCTTCGGCAAGACGAAAACAAACGAGCCTGGAAAGCAAAATGGGAGGGGCCGACTGCTAGGCAGATGGAAAAAGCCGATTGGTACCGATGTGGAGACGGAAACGACCGAACAGTTCCGGAGAAACCCGGGGAATTCTGAACGGTAATAGAGGGGTAGACTCTGGCAGTGGGCGGGGCCAATTCGGTCCGTTCGAAGGGCGTTGGCGGAAATTACCGAAGATGCCCGAAGCCGTCGGGACGGACCCGAGTACCTCACGCAAGATGGCGGAGCTGGAGGAGGTGACTCTGGACGGGAAGCCTCTTCAGGCTCTGCGGGTGACCGACCTGAAGGCCGCACTGGAGCAGCGAGGCCTAGCCAAGAGCGGGCAGAAGAGTGCCCTGGTCAAGCGGCTCAAAGGGGTGAGAAGTCAGCGTTGCCGAGGTGTCGGAGGGGGAGCGGACCCGGTAGAGACTAGTCTCCGCCGCGGCGCAGGCGCAGTGTCCGGGCTCGGCGCGAGCTCTCTCAGGCCGCCAGCGCGAGCCTGCAGATCCACGCGCACGGTGGTTGGTGTGGCTGGCGCTGGAATAGAGATAACGCCGGTTCCCGCCTTAACGGCAGCGGCGCGAGCCCAAAATGGGAGGGTGCGCGCTACTCTCCCGGAGTGTCTTAAGCTCCTTCCTTCTTCCCCCACCCCCTCCTTGTTTGTGTCTGTGTTTTCGGCGCATGCGCTGCAGAAGGAGTTAAATCCCTCTACAACCACCGGTGTGGCTGGCCTTAAGGGGGCGAGCAGGGCTGGGTCCGAGTTAGGGATACAGTTGGGCGGATGGGGTTGGTGTTTGAGTCTGCAATAGTACATTTGGGATAGGGTAAAAATGTCCGCTTGACTAGATTAATACCTTAGATGAAGGGAAACCTTGATAGAAGGACTTGGTCAGAGACTGGTGTCTAATTTATAGGG